TGGAAGAAAGGTCTTAATTCTGACTCTGGCTATCTCCATTCAAGGAAACTTCTTTCCTTCCTAATTTCAACCCTGCATGGTTCTATGAAAATAACATGACACCTATAGTCACCCATTCACCCATAAATCCAAACCTGTATTAGTACAGCAGCTCCAGTCTAAGCTTCTCAAATTTATTTGGCATTTGAGACACAATAAATTAGGGCCTATAATATCTGGAAAGTGGCCTGGCGCAGTGGCTCACGCCTGTAATCCCAACACTTTGCGAGGCTGAGGCAGGTGGATCACAAGGTCAGAAGTTCAAGACCAGCCTGATCAATATGTAAAACCCCATCTCTACTAAAAATACAAAAATTAGCCGGGCATGGTGGCGCATGCCTGTAGTTCCAGCTACTCGGGAGGCTGAGGCAGGAGAACTGCTTGAACCTGAGAGGCAGAGGTTGCAGTGAGCCAAGATTGTGGCACTGCACTCCAGCCTGGGCGAGACTATCTCAAAAAAAAAAAAAAGAAAAAGAAAAAGAAAAAAAAATGGAAGGTAAAGGGAAGAATAAATATGATTTAGTTCAGAATACTGCCAGGATTAAACAAACAAAAAAAACAATCTTGGATTGGTTCATCTTTATTTCTAGAAATAATACTATATACCTTACCAAGAACTTCCCATTTTTCTTGCTGTACTTATGGAACACTGGAAATTAGCACCATAATTTGCTTTGGGGAACACTTCTCTGAAAACCCAGCAGTCCAACTGTTGCCAGACTTAAATCCCTGGCTACCTTATCTTGCACATATCCTTCCCACTTAAGTAAGGAACAAACAACATAGATTCTTGCAAAGAAAATGGTATCAATGTATAACTGAAGTTTAGCAAGGTTCCTGGTCAGTCTGTATCTTTGCAATGTTTAAGAATTTGACCTCTGGTGTTAAGCTACTAGGGTGCAGATTCCAGTTCTTACAACCTCAGGCAAAGTATTAAAGTTCTTTGCACTTCAATTTCTTCATCTGTGAAACACAAATAATAGCTCCTGCTTCATAATTTTACTATAAACCAAACAAATTAGGTACAGTGCTTTAAACGGTGCTAGAACAAAGTCCTCTGTAAATGTTAGATAGTATCATCATACAAGTGTTATCATACATGTACTGAAGGAATGGCTATAGGATAGTGAAGTCATTTGTGAGGAAAGAACTGAAGTGACCCAAATTCTGACATGTCAAGAGAGTTTTTTATCTAAGGGAGGAGTGAAGATTTCAGGTGTTTAGGAAATGTAAGAGGCTCCACCCAAAGGAATGGGACTGTAGTAAAAAGGAGCAAAGCTGTTTCCAGAGAAGAGAGGACCAGAAACTTCAAGAAATTGACTCAGCTTCAAAAGCCAAAAACCTACTATAAATGGGTAATTTATAAGCCACCATGACTGCCACTGAGCAGCCAAGCCCTTAAAGGACTACATGTGTTGATGATGGAAGCTTTGAAGTACCTGTTGGAAAGAGCATTTATCAAATGTAGGAAGGCTGGTCACATTGAGCCCTAAACTACAGAAGAGATGTCAATTCTTATTGATTGAATTATGACCAAAGTCACAGACCTATGGCTATTTTGATCTAGTAGATGTTTTGAAACTCAGGATATTATGGCTTCTCTTTGTAAACATAAAGCAACTTTATCAGAAACTTATCAACGTACTTTTCAAAATGACAGGAGCGAGACGTGAATTTCTTTTATATTACTTACAACATCAAAAAATTGTTGGTCTCTCAATAGATATTTACGGAAGCAGATCATATTGATTTCCGACCATATGGCAGGGAGAATTTTCTGATGGGAAATGTATCAGTCACACCTAGTCTGGAGACTGATCAACTGAACTAAAATCACAATGGGCATTACCTTAAAGGTTGAGAAAAGCTTAAAAATGGTGCCAGCACTTTGGGAGGCTGAGGCAGGTGGATCATGAGGTCAGGAGTTGGAACCTGACCAACATGGTGAAACCCCATCTCTACTAAAAATACGAAACTTAACGGGGCATGGTGGTGCGTGCCCGTAATCCCAGCTACTCAGGAGACTGAGGCAGGAGAATCGCTTGAACTCGGCAGGCAGAGGTTGTAGTGAGCTGAGATCATGCCACTGCACTCTAGGTTAGGGTACAGAGTGAGATTCCATTTAAAAAAAGTAATGGACAAATTGATCAGAGTTGTATGAGTAATAAACTGAATTCAATTATAGCTACAGCTAGCTCTTCTAAGTATTATCTGAAGTTAGTTTATAATAGTTCCTTTTAAAAACATACTATAGTTTTATTTTTTAAATTCCCAAGTTGTTTGGCGTTTTTCTTCCTTGAACTCTTTAAAATATTTTGTTAAACTGGACAGAGATTTTACTGGGATTCCAATTTAATTAAAGGAAGTTATTTCCAATGAACACTTAATTAGTTATAATCCCTTTTTCTTTTTTTTTTTTTTTTTTTGGGGGGGGTTCAGACAAGGTCTCACTCTGTCACCCAGGCTGGAGTCCAGAGGCACGATCTTAGCCCACTGCAATCTTGACCTCCTTGGCTCAAATGAGCCTCTTGCTTCAGCCACCCCATTAGTTGGGACTACACATGTGTACCACCACATCCAGCTAATTTTTGTATTGTTTGTAGAGACAGGATTTCCCCATGTTGTCCAGGTTGATCTAAAATTCCTGGACTCAAGCAGTCCACCTGCCTTGGCCTCCCAAAGTGCTAGCATCACAGGCATAAGCCACCGCGCCTGTCCTACAAAATGTAATTGAAAATATTTTTTCTAATAGATCAACAGGTACATCAGTATGATTTCTGTTTAGATAATACACGACTATATTCTGTTAATCAATCATTACTTTTGATAATTGTGGCTAGTTTTCTTTCCCTTCAGTTTCTAAAAATTTTAGATTTCCAAATCAGCAAATAAAACTTTTAAATATGAAAAAATATTTTTAAAATATTAGAACAGTCCTATTGTCAGGTAAATTGTTCATAAGAAAGGTGTTAAAAGTAAGTTAAAAGTAAATTTTAACAAATTGAAAACTTCAACACTAAAGTTTTCTGGAATTTCAAAGAAGCAAAACCAATAAAAATATCAAGAGCCATGTTCAAATAAATACATTCATTCCACTTAGTTAAAAGTAGAAGGATAATTCTGTCTCTAAAATATCATAAAAATGTTTAAGCAATCTATATATTTTTTGCTTCAAATCTCTGAATTTTCTTTCTTTTTGGTATTTTTTTTAGAAGGAGTCTTGCTCTGTCACCAGGCTGGAGTGCAGTGGTGTGATGTCGGCTCCCTGCAACCTCTCCCTCCCGGGTTCAAGCAATTCTCCTGCCTCAGCCTCCCGAGTGGCTGGAATTAGAGGCACGCGCCACCACACCCGGCTAATTTTTGTATTTTTAGTAGAGACAGGGTTTCACCATGCTGGCCAGGATGGTCTCCATCTCTTGACCTCGTGATCCATCCGCCTTGGCCTCGCAAAGTGCTGGGATTACAAGCCTGGCGCCCGGCCAAATGTCTGCATTTGCATACCAAAATGCTTGCTTTTCAGAAATGGTTTCTTAGAAATCCGAAAGCCAGAAAAAAAAAAAAAAAAAAAAAGCAGAATGTGGTTTACATCCATGTCTAACAAGAAGCTGAAGAAGCTGTTAAAGAATCTAGTTTGTTTTGTGATAATGAAGCTAGGACTAAAAATGTCCTTTTAAGCCATTACTTACACAAACACAAAATTATTCACATTTATGGTTCAACTGATAGTCATGACAGTTACGTTTGCATAGGCTCAGTACATTATTTTTCCTCTACATAGGATGAAACTTGCCTTCATTGTCGTAACGTTGGAGCATATTATCGTGCATCTAAGTCTTAAAGAGTCTTTAAACTATAGCACTGGGAGGACATAAGTCATACATTCTCCTTGTACAAGTTAACTCAACAGTTTGGCATGTTAAAAGGCCACGTTGCCAAGGTTAAAATCCAACTATCTGACTGAAGTCATAGTCTCTTAAGGTTGCTCCTCCGTCAAATGGTTTCAAGGACATTCAGTTTCGTTTCATTCCAGGCTGTGAAGCTTTTCAATGCTAGAACCTAACCATGGAAAGTGGAATTGAAAACAATTATATAGCGAATTGGCTTATGCGTGGATTTCGATCTGGGATCCACGAACATACTTAATGCTTGGCAAAATGGGGAGGGGCACTGTGTGTTATTATTATGTGTTATTATTAATCACATAACTGAACTCTGGCTACAGGCCTTCCATGGCTCGTCTCCCAATCAATTCTTTTCAGAATTAAGAATCACGACAGGGGCCCGGGCGCGGTGGCTCAACGCCTGTAATCCCACCACTTTGGGAAGTCGAGGCAGGAAGATTGCTTGAGCCCAGGAGATTGAAACCCCCTGGGCAACACAGCCCTACCTCGTCTGCAATCCATCAATCAATGAGTACATAAATGAATAAGCCAATTAATGAATACGTGAATGAATAGATGAATAAATGAATGAAAAAGAATCACGGCAGAACTCCTAACCCCTAGCACGCCTGCCTAGAGGAACAGGAAGAAGTCAAGAAAGAAACACTCTTCACTTCTGTGAATTTTCTAAGGGCAACAAACGGCGGCTGCTCAATTAGAGAACCTATGGTCTTTTCTGGCTTTAGAGGTCAGGTCCGCAGCTGCTAGCAGCAGAGAGACTCAAATCAAAGAGGAGTCCCACAAACGCTTTGAAGGTTGACATCAGAGGGAGCACGCACCGAGGGAAACTCCCCACCTCCCTGTGATACCGCAAATTCCCAGTCGCTGGCAGTTTGGGGTTCTCCCACCGGAAGTGAAACCGAAGAAAACGCCACGTCGAAGGCGTGTGTTGCCGTAAGCGCGCCGACGTCACGCGCCTAGCTTCCGGCGATGGGTGGCCCTGGGATCGGGAGGGGAGGCGGGGTGGAGGCGGGGCTTGGGGTTGAGAGAGGCTGTGGTGGGTAGGTGGGTTCAGACCGAGGGGACTACGGGTCGGCGTTGGGCTCAGTGGGCTCGAAACAAAGGGCTATCCGGTGGGGACTCGCCGCGGCGCTTTTTGACGGGTCAGGTCGAGGCTTCTCGGCCTAGCAGTGCCCTCGCTGCGCGATCTCAGGCGGGTTCTCCTCGGCTCCCTGCAGCCCGTGCCGCGGTGGGGGGCCCGGCGCAGCGGCACCTGCTGCCAAGGGACCCCGCGGCCCGCCCCGGTGCTCATGATGGGGCTGATCTTCGCCAAACTGTGGAGCCTCTTCTGTAACCAAGGTGAGAAGGATGGAGCTGCGCGGCGGCTCGAATCCGAGGCGGAGGGTCCGGCCGCCGATGGGGACACCGGAGGCAGGGGACAGAGCGTTCGGAGAAGCGGAGGAGGAAGGGACTTAGGCCAGGGGGCGGGCAGAAACTCTGTGTTTTAGACCTGGAGAACGTACGGGAGAGACCTGACGTGTGGGAGAAACAGGGAGGCAGAAGAGAAGGCATTTGGTGTCCCAGAATCCAAACTGAGACTGTTTGGATATTGGCGAAGTAAAGCGGGATACAGCTAATGATGCCCGGAGGCGTATGGAGGGCCTTTCCCGTCGTTATTGAAGCGTACTTGTGTATCTATGTGTAGCCCCCAGGATAAGTGTCCGGCCAGAAACCTAAAACTTTTTTTAAAAAATACTGTTGGTGCTTTGTTTTCCCGCCCTGCCCTTTGAGCCGTAAGCCAGTGCACTTTCACTCTGATTTCTTCCCCTTTCTTCTAGGATTTGGGAGTGAGTTGTCCTATTCAGATACACGAGTTTTCCAGCATCTTCATTCTAAACTTTTTTTTTTTTTAAGGCATTCAGAAACTAAATGCTTTTCTGTTTTGTGTAAGACGTTACGTGTCCGTAATTAGTCTAGAACAGGTAATGAGACACCTGGAAGTGGCAGGTCCAAAGGGCCGAGAAGTTGCAAAACCTGTTCTGAGTCAGAATGAGATGTGATGTCTTTTGAAGAGAGAAAACGCCCAGACCAAAAAAGGAGCCGACGATAAGAAGTTTTAGGCGTCCTTTAAACAGAATGGTTCCTTAGTAATCGAAACCAATTTTGAAAATCAGCTCGTTTCATTTTACCTTTAAGAGCCGGACATAATTAAGAAGACAGTTTTATTTCTTTTTATGTTGGTACCAATGTGTTACTGCTAATGTAGGTATCTAATCTTTTTCTGGATTTAAGAAGTTGTGGAGGTAATGGAATGGCTTTAGTTGACTTGTTCTGTAGATTGATAAGAACACTAAAATAGTCTTTTTCAAGGTTATAAATATAGATTCAGGCACCCACATGTGTATATATGTATATGCCTGTATCCAGTAACCACAGATAATATTACTTATCAAATGATTTCAAAGTGAGCAGAGCTTCACACTTAGTGGGTATTATCCATACATTTAACATATTTTTATTTTATTTTATTTTATTTTTTTTGAGACAGAGTCTCTCTCTGTCGCCCAGTCTTCAGTGCAGTGGTGCGATCTCAGCTCACTGCAACCTCTGCATCCTGGATTCAAGCGATTCTCATTCCTCAGCCTCCCGAGAAACTGGGATTACAGGCGCCCGCTACAACGCCCGGCCTATTTTTGTATCTTTAGTAGAGATGGGGTTTCGCCATGTAGGCCAGGCTGGTCTCGAACTTCTGACCTCAGGTGATTTACCGGCCTCGACCTCCCAAAGTGCTGGAATTACAGGTGTGAGCCACCGCGGCCGGCTGTAAAGCAGCATTTTAAGACGTGCTTAAAGGTGTAAAGATTAATACAAAAGTCACCAGTTTTCTCTTTCCCCTGAGCTGGAGAATTGAAACATTACCAAAGTTGTTGGTTTTCCCTGTATATCCTTTCCCATTTTCCTTTCGCCCTTTCTGTTACATGGCTGCGCTCATTTTTCGTTGGAGGCGTCCTTACTCAGACTAGAGGGAATAAAAGATATAAGGGGAAAATTTAGAAGATGATGAAAGACATTCAGTGGCTCCCTTTATAATCACATAATTGTTCAGGCCTCCTAAATCTCCATTTCTACTTAGAATTTTTCTTTTTCCTCTAACTTTCCTGTTGGAAAATTTAGAACCAGTGATTATTCAGTTATTTTATTCTTATTCATACAGCCATAGGCCAATCTTCAGAGTTTAACATAGGAGGTACAAAATTAAAGAAGAAAGATGTCTTCCTGGCAAAGTACTCAAACATCAATAAACGAGACAAACATGAAAAAAAAATGCAGTGTGGTAAATTATTTAACAGATATGTGTAAAAATATAACGTTGGCTGCAGCATAAGGTATACTTGGACTGTAATGTAAAGATGACTAGGAATTTGGGTGGCATGCTAGACAGACCGAGTAGAAGGGACATGTTATTCTAGGCAGAAGGACTAATATGCAAAAGGGAGAGGAATGAGCTAGTTTGGTACTTTTAGGGAAGCTGAAAATAGTTGAGCTTGGCTGTGTGTTAGTTTGCTTGCGAGGAGTGAAGAGGAGATGAAATTGGAAAGACAGCCAGGAGAACCTTATCACAGAGGGCCTCCAGTGTTGACTAGGACATTAAACTATCTAGAGCAAGGAATGGGACTCATTGAAGAGTTTAATCCACAGATGTCTCTTAGCCTATATTTTTGTTTTCTGAGTCAACAAATTTAACTACCAATCTCAGCATTTTCCATTTTTGTCACTCTATATACCTATTTCAGTGGAATTAGATGTATTAGAATAACAGGCTGAAAGCCCCACCTCACACCAGCTAAATCAGAATGGGGTGAGGTGGCCTGGGCATCAGTGCCAAGGTAAATCGAATGTGCAGCCAGTGTTAAGAACTACTGATCTTACTTTATGTACTCCTTTCCCTTGTCTTTCTTCCAATATTTCCACATTCTCATCTTTTTTTTCTGTAGCATTTTAGAGTCTCATGCATCTTATAAATTAGATACCTTTCTATGAACAAGTATACTAAAGCATATGTTGTCTAAGTAAAGCAATCTAAAAGTACATTAATTCCTGCAATTTTGTCTTGTTTAAACTAGAAGACTGTTTACTTCGACAGTTATTATTCAAGGAAATAATTTCAAAATCTGATTATCTTTGCAAACATTTTATGTATCAGTGTAGTTCTATGCAATACGTATGTGTGTATGATAGCTCACCTCTAAAGTTTTGCATTGTTTTTAAATTTCTTTTGAACTTTCGTAAGTATAGTCTTTTTCTCTCAGTGTTATGACTGTACAAATCTGTCATCAGTTATTTCTTTTTTTGTTACTTGTTTGTTTCTAAATGAGATGGAGTCTCGCTCTGTCACCCAGGCTGGAGTTAAGTGGTGCCATCTCGGCCCACTGCAACCTCCACCTCCCGGGTTCAAGCAGTTCTCCTGCCTCAGCCTCCTGAGTAGCTGGGATTACAGGAGCACACCCCCACTCCGGCTAATTTTTGTATTTTTAGTGGAGATGGGGTTTCACCATGTTTTTCAGGCTGGTCTTGAACTCCTGACCTCGGGTAATCCGCCTGCCTTGGCCTCCCAAAGTGCTGGGATTACAGACATGAGCCACTATTCCTGGCCTAGTTATGTCTTTAAATTTTATTTATTTATTTATTTATTTATTTTTGAGATGGAGCCTCACTCTGTCACCCAGGCTGGAGTACAGTGGTGTGATCTCAGCTCACTGCCACCTCTGCCTCCCGAGTTCAAGCAATTCTCCTGCTTCAGCCTTTGGAGTAGGTAGAATTACAGGGACCTGCCACCATGCCTGGCTAATTTTGGTATTTTTAGTAGAGACGGGTTTCACCATGTTGGCCAGACTGGCCTCGAACTACTGACCTCAGGTGATCTGCTCATCTCGGCTTCCCAAAGTGCTAGGATTACAGGCGTGAGCCACTGCACTCCGCCAGTTATTTCTAGTGTTACCCAGAATTAAGAACAAATGAAATACAGTTTTAATTGTAGTTCATTTTCAGAACTATGTAACAGTAACATCTTAATTTCATAATTTAATCATTTCTTTCAAATCCATGAATTTCATGTTATTTTGAATACTGGTTGCCAACTGTGTATGATTGTTGTCCTTTACTTCTGACTGCTCAGATCTCAGATCTCGTGGCTCACATTTCTTCCTTTAGCTTGTTCTGCCTTAACGCTGGACTTTAATCTAGTTTTAATCACACCAAACTTAAACGTATCATCTGTCTGCATCCTGTCTTCCAGACCATTCTTTTTTTTTTTTTTTTTTTGAGATGGAGGCTTGCTCTGTCACCAGGCTGGAGTGCAGTGGCACGATCTTGGCTCACTGCCACCTCCACCTCCTGGGTTCAAGTGATTCTCCTGCCACAGCCTCCCGAGTAGCTGGAACTATAGGCACCTGCCACCACGCCTGGCTAATTTTTGTATTTTTAGTAGAAACAGGGTTTCACCATATTGGCCAGCTTGGTGTCAAACTCCTGACCTTGTGATCCGCCCACCTCGGCCTCCCAAAGTGCTGGGATTACAGGTGTGAGCCACCATGCCCAACCTGGCTTTCTTTTTTTTTTTTTTTTTTAAGAGATGGGGTCTTACTCTATTGCCCAGTTTGGTCTCAAACTCCTAGATTCAACTGATCACTTCTCCTTGGCCTCCCAAAGTGTTGGAATTACAGGCGCGAGCCATTGTGCCTGGCCTAAAACATTCTGATTTACTATAACTGATAGTAACAGTAGTGTCTTAACCTAAAATTACTTCACATTGGGACCTGCCTTTCAAAATGATGCATTATTGGTGAATTTTACCATCACGGGCCTTCAGTATGGTGTGAAGCATCACAATGCAAAATGTGAAACAAGGAGCAGGATTGTTTGAAAATGACCTGGGTATTCACTTGAGTTGCTTCAACAAGGAGCCATCTGGTACTATCCCTCCATTCCTTTCTCCCAGTGGAATTATCTGCCTTCAAGTTTTGCTTATCTTTAAACTAGTGGCTTCCTTCTCACCACTGCAGGCGTGTTGTTTTCTCTAGATGCTTGGTAGGTGGAGCTTCTAGCTGTCACCAAAATGTAGAATGCTCAGTGCCAGGCAGTCCATTTGTTCCTTCACTGATAGAAGTTCTTGTACTTTAAGGGATAACAAACAGGGTAATACTTAAAAGATTGGCTTCATTAGAAATTAGAGGATATGTAGCCAGGCATGATGGCGTGCACCTGTGGTCCCAGCTACTCAGGAGGTTCAGGTAGGCGGATCACTTGAGCCTGGGAGGTCGAGGCTGCAGTGAGCCTTGATCATGCCACTGCACTCCAACCTGGGCAACAAAGCCAGACCCTGTCTCAAATAAATAAATAAATAAGGAGAATTATAGTGGGTTATACTAAGCAGGCAAGTTTTGTTTTGTTTTACAAAGCAGCTTCTACCATAGTGAAAATAGCCCTTCTAGAGGACCATGTCTGTTTATCCTGCACTGTTATAGGCTGTACCTAGAGTGTGTAGGTCATTAGAAGACCTGCAGGTCTCAAGAACTTAACTTTTCTTGGTCCCTCTTTTTTTAGCTGATAAAGTTTTACAACTTTAGGAATATGAGCTGATAGTCGATTGTATGACCAGAATGTTGACATTCACCAGAGGTCATCAAGAAGAGTGGGGTTCTGATATGAGATGTGCCCAGTCGTTGCCTTTAAATCAACTGTGTTGTGATTCTGTGGCAACTTCCCTACTTACCCTGTTGATGTTAACTTGTAACTTTTAAAGCATTCTTCTGCCTTGGAGAAGGGGATCTTTAGTATACTTGGCATAAGTTAAAATCTAGGAAAGATGGTATCTGGGGTGTTTTCTGTATTCAAAGGACATTGCAGAATATGTACCGCTTAACAGAATAATTAGATGAACTTTAGCAACCACTTATTAAAAGAGGTGAATATGTAGTGCATGGCACCCAAAGAAGGAAAGAAATGAAGAGATTTTCGTTGTACAAAGAGCAGAAACAGAATCTGCTTGAAAGAACTGTAGAAGCCGATTGAAAAATTGTTAAACAATGAGCAATTGCATAAAAACTTGAGAGTATACGTTTGTCTTTGTGACAGGTGAAACATTTCCATTTTAAGCTCACATGGGATTTTTAAGTGAGAGGAAGAAACAGATCCTGGTGTCCATAGGTGGGAAAACTTACAGATATGAAAACATTTTGATAAAAAGCTAACTTGATTGGTACAGAGCTAAAAAGGTCTGTAAAACAGGCTTTTTAGAAAACTTACATTTTAGGTTTTAATTTTTGCCTAGATTAATATTTGGATCTCCTCTCCCCTAAATGCAATATAAGTGACCAACTTTGCTGGTGTTTCCTGCTTACCCATCTCCCACATTCTTTTACAAGAGAACTAGACAGAGAATCAATGATAATTGATTGTGTTACTTAACCTGGGTAGCCTTAACATCATAATATTTCTTTCTGTATTTTAACAATCTAGTAATAGATACTCAGTGAATGATTCTCCTTAATGAGCTAACTAATAATCATTGTTGAAAGCATGTAATTGCAGTAATGTTAAATGTTTATGGTTTGCTTTCTTTTTGTAGAACACAAAGTAATTATAGTGGGACTGGATAATGCAGGGAAAACCACCATTCTTTACCAATTGTAAGTATGGGTGTTTATTAAACAGTTTTCACTAGTTATTGAAACTAATGTGTTTATAATTAATAAGAGATGCATTATAATAGTGATGGAAAAACTTAAATATGTATTTTTTGTTTTTTTTTTAATTTTTTAAAATTATTATTATACTTTAAGTTCTAGGGTACATGTGCACAATGTGCAGATTTGTTACTTATGTATACATGTGCCATGTTGGTGTGCTGTACCCATTAACTCATCTGGTTTTTGTTTTTAATTTTACCAAACACCATCTATAGAAAAGTGAGTGAAATAAACATTTGCTAAACCCTTCACAAACACTTACTGTTTTCTGGCCTTGAAAGAAATTAATGTTAAACTAAAATAAATAAAGCGCATATTAAAGTGCTGGGATGAGGTGATAGAGTGGATTTCACTTAGTTCTACCCACACTTGGGTTTATGTAAATAAATTGATAGCTCTAGAAAGCCATTGCTACCCTCCTGACTAATAGCTTTGGAATTTTTTAACGTAGCCAGACTTGTCAAGTCAAAAGAAATGTGATCACTGCTGAGAATATTGCTGTAGTAGCTTGCAAGAGGGAGAGCCTTGAGACTTTCTGAGAAATCTATTAATACCTTAGGACATTTTCACAGCTCATCATTTCGCTTGTCAGGGTACCTTCCATTATCCTTTCAGTGCCAATGAAATGATCCTTATTAAGCAATAGAAATGGATCTACCAATCACTTTAACAAAATAGTTCTACAATTCTTTGCACCATTGTGTACCCCTTCACACTCATCTTGCATTAGAAGACAGCCCTTTAGCTGAAGAAGCTGAAGACGCTGAAGGCGTACTTCAGCTCACCAGAAGTACTTCATTAGCCAGCAATTAACACATTTTTCAACTACTTTGCTAAAAAGCTACTGACAAAGTTTGTTGTGTCAGAGTTGCGTAACTACTTATTTCTATTGAAAACATTTTCATTCATTGGTGATTATGTGTTTAAATATGAATTCGCTTTTAAACATCACATATAAACATTTCAGAAACCTGTCATCTTTGTTGAAATAATTTTACACATGGCTTCAAAAATATACATAAAACGCAAAAGAGAATTGCACGCCTCCTCCAACACAGGACTGACGTGTTACCAGCAAGGGCATATTTGTTGAATTAATTGATTAATGTAGCTTTACCAATGATTATGATAATACAAGAGGTATGAGCATCAGTATTCTAAATATATGTATATGTGTGTCTGTGTGTGTGCGCGCGCGCGTGTGTGTGTATATATATATATATATACACACACACACATATACACACGCACACACACATATTTGAGACCTAGTTTTGCTCTGTTGCTGAGGCTGGAGTGCAATGGCGTGATCTCCACTCACTGCAACATCCACCTCCCAGGTTCAAGCGGTTCTCCTGCCTCAGCTTCCTGAGTAGCTGGGATTACAGGCATCCACCACCACACCCTGCAAATTTTTGTATTTTTAGTGGAGACAGTTTCACCATGTTGGTCAGGATGGTCTCAAATTCTTGACCTCAAGTGATCCACCCAAAGTGCTAGAATTACAGGCGTGAGCCACCACGCCTGGCCTTCTAAATATGTTTATAGTTAATTTAAATTTTCACTTGCCCATGGTCGTCTTTTTCGGACTACTTTAGATTAAAAAGCCTGAACTAATTGTTGTGGCTAAGTCTCAATTTAGACAGTTTTCTAAATTACGGATAGCCTACTATCCAATATTTTCTCTTTTGCAAGTATTGGTGTCACAGTCGCCTAGAAACTTGCTTTTCAGGATGGGATGGGACATTGGGTCTTATCTCACCGATAACAGGGCATGGTAGTATTGGAATTTTTGGCCACAGAAATGCAAATTCACACCACACTGTTTCCTTTCTTTTCCATCAAGTTTGCAATTCCTCCCATTTTTAAAAAAAAAAAAAAAACATAAAGCAAGTCTTTCTTCTGGAGTTGTTGTCTAGATATTTATTTGCACAAATGTTCTCCAGGTTTCTAATTTTCATGCTAATGATTATCATCATTGGTGCAGAAGGTTCATTGATCTTAAAAATACAGAGATAAAAGTTGCTTCAGATTCTCAAGATTTACAAGAGCTTTTATGGTATCTTTCAACAGCTTAATGAATGAAGTGGTTCATACTTCTCCCACCATAGGAAGCAATGTTGAAGAAATAGTTGTGAAGAACACTCATTTTCTTATGTGGGATATTGGTGGTCAGGAGTCTCTGCGATCATCCTGGAACACATATTACTCAAACACAGAGGTATGCTAAGATGAATTTTGAATTTTAATCAAAAGGTACGAAGAGTAAACCTAGAAAGTAGATAGGCTGGACCTGGGTGTATTGACAGTTGCCTTTTTTGTTGTTGTTGTTGTTGAGGAGTCTTGCTCAGTCGCCAGGCTGGAGTGCAGTGGCGCGATCTTGGCTCACTGCAGTCTCCGCCTGCTGGATTCAAGCGATTCTCCTGCTTCAGCCTCCCAAGTAGCTGGAATTACAGGGGGCATGCCACCACTCCCAGCTAATTTTTGTATTTTTAGTAGAGACGGGGTTTCACCATATTGGTCAGAATGGTCTTGAACTCCTGATCTTGTGATCTGCCCTCTTTGGCCTCCCAAAGTGCTGGGATTACAGACTTGAGCCACCGCGGCCGTCCTGACAGTTGCCTTTTAATAAGATCCTTTTTTGTAAGGAATTTGGGTTTCTGTTTTTTTAAAAAAAATTAAAATTTCATGAATGAGACTTAAGAATTTGGGTTTTCAAATAAAAGAAAAGGCGAATAGAAAGACTGTTTGGAGCTATTGTTAGTTGAGTGCTTACTGTTTGGCCAGGCTTTCTCTGTTCATCTTCACAAGATTTTAATGTCTCCAGGGTTGGAGAGATCTGACACATGGAGAAATTATATAGCTTTCCCCATCATCTCACAACTTTCTAAGAGACCCTGACCGGGAGAGGAATGAATATTTTATTAATTTAAAAATTTCTTATAACATGAACATTAAAAATGTTGGTAGGTTTTTTTTTTTTTAGTTAAAAAAAGTGGATTTGCAAATCATCTCTCAAAGTTCTCTGCCGCTTATGAGTTCAGAGCTAACTTGGGGAACAAACCTGGATATATTCATATTTTATTTCTGCTTTTATTTCTTCTTAGAGGCAGATATTTTTTTAAGACCATTCAGTATAGTTTAGAGAGATTTATCCTTGAGAGTATGAGTTCACAATTGCATCCATTTAATTGTTCTTTGCAAAGATGTACACCTAACCAATTATTTTTTCTAAAATGAGACCTTTTTTTTTTTTTTGAGACGGGGTCTCACTTTGCCACCCAGCCTGGAGTGCAGTGGCACGATCTCGGCTCACTGCAAGCTCCGCCTCCCAGGTTCATACCATTCTCCTGCCTCAGCCTCCTGAGTAGCTGGGACTACAGGTGCCCGCCACCATGCCCGGCTAATTTTTTGTGTTTTTAGTAGAGGTGGGGTGTCACCTGTGTTACCCAGGTTGGTCTCGATCTCCTGACCTCGTGATCCGCCCACGTCAGCCTCCCAAAGTGCTAGGATTACAGGTGTGAGCCACTGCGCCTGGCCGAGACCTTTTAAAAATTGGAGTTGGACCGGGCGCGGTGGCTCAGTCCTGTAATCCCAGCACTCTGGGAGGCCGAGGCGGACGGATCATGAGGTCAGGAGATCGAGGCCATCCTGGCTAACACAAGTGAAACCCCGTCTCTACTAAAAGTATAAAAAATTAGCCAGGCGTGGTGGGGTGCACTTGTAGTCTGAGCTACTCAGGAGGCTGAGGCAGGAGAATCACTTGAATCTGGGAGGCAGAGTTTGCAGTGAGCCGAGGTGGCACCACTGCACTCCAGCCTGGGTGACAAAACAAGACTCTGTCTCAAAAAAAAAAAAAAAATGGAGTTGGAAAGGAGGAGGTAGAAAAGGATGTAATATGAAGAATTTTTGGTGAACAAAGTTGCCTTTTTAAATAAAAAACATGTATTGTTTTAGATTTATATTATAATAGCATATGTGTATATGTGTATATATTCCAATGCAATATGTAAGTAGTAAACGAAGATGGCATATCATAGATACTCAGAATTTGTGGTAGCACCTAATTATTTTATTGGGTATGCAGAAGATGTTGGTAAGCAAATAGTGTCGTTAAAGGGTAGCTTACATGTTTATACAGTAAAATAATGTTCTGAAACTAGAATAAGTTAGAAAGTAAGGGAAGGGCCAGCTGCAGTGGCACACTCCTGTAATCTCAGCACATTGGGAGGCCAAGGTGGGCAGATTGCTTGAGGCCAGGAGTTCAAGACCAGCGTGGCCAACATGGCAAAACCCCATCTCTACTAAAAACAGAAAACTTAGCCAGGCATGGTGGCATGTGCCTGTAGTCCCAGCTGCTCGAGAGGATGAGGCATGAGAATAGCTTGAACCTGGGAGGCAGAGGTGGCAGTGAGCTGAGATAGCACCACTGCACTCCAGCCTGGGTGACAGAGTCTCGCTGGCTCTCCAAAAAAAAAAAAAAAGTAAGTAAGGGACAAACGACATTGTAGCATATGATTAATTTAAACATCAGAGCTGTTAGTAGTTCAAAGCTCACAGTTAACTCCAGCTGTGAAAAGGACAGTTATCATTAATGAATAGGTCAAAGTTGATTCTAGTGAATCCATATGTACTTAAAGTGTTTCAAAAGGGTAGTTCTTGAAATGACTGAAACTCTGGAGGACTTAGCATGGGTCCAGAAAGAGATATCCATTACTGATGCCATTTGCATGAAATGTTCTTTTATTAAGTGTTCTCTACAAGAATATCAAAATTACTACAAAGAACAGTGGCCTATGTCAGTTTGCTTTTTGAAAATTCTTCATGTGGAAGAGTCCCCTAAAAGCTGCAGTATGTCCACTATATTACAAGAAGTTACGGGTATTAAGTAATTCCTGACACCTTCCTCTCATTAACTCACAGTTGCATGCCCGTATTCTGTCGATTCCTCCTTTGCCATGTGACATTCTTTCCATTTATTCCCTTGTAAGCCCAACTCAGTTTATATTCAGATTAGTTGTCTGTTCCCTTAATTTTATTTATTTTTATTTTTTATTTATTTATTTTTTTGAGACAGAGTCTCACTCTGTCCCCCAGGCTGGAGAGCAGTGGCTCGATCTCAGCTCACTGTAACCTCCGCCTCCCAGGTTCAAAGGATTCTCCTGCCTCAGCCTCCCTAGTAGCTGGGACTGCAGGTACACACCACCATACCTGGCTAATTTTTGTATTTTTAATAGAGACAGGGTTTTACTATGTTGGCCTGGTTGGTCTTGAACTGTCCTCAAGTGATCCCCCCACCTTGGCCTCACAAAGTGCTGGGATTACAGGCATGAGCCACTGCGCCTAGCCTGTTTCCCTAATTTTAAAGTCATCTCTGTAATCTAATTCTACCCTTCATGTCTGTTTATTTTGCATCTATCTCCTGCTGTAATAGCATCATTTCATCTCATTTCTTAACTTTTTATTCTGTATAAAGTGTTCGGTTTAAGGGCCCTTTTTCGCTGCATCGTCTCCTCCATCTCCTCCTTCTCCTCACCCACCTCTCCACATTTTTTTAAAATGAGTTAGGGCCTCTCTGTCACCCAGGCTGGAGTGCAGTTGCATGATTCTCAGTACAGCCTCAACTTCCTAGGCTCAAAGCAGTCCTCCCACCTTAGCCTCCCAAGTAGGCGGGACTACATGCATGGCTAATCTTTATTTTTAATTTTCTGTAGAGAGACAGGGTCTCACTATGTTGCCCAAGGTGGTCTCAAACTCCTGGGCTCAAGCGATCATACCACCTCACCTCCCAGAGTGCTGGGATTACATGTGTGTGAGCCACCATGCCTGGCCTATATCTTCTTACTTTTTAATATGCAAGACCTACCTTTTTTCATGTATAGCTTTACCAACAGATTTCTCCTCTTTTTTCTGGCTTCTTGCCTTTAATTTCTCCTGCATCTCCAGTATATTAATGCCTAAGTATCTATGTTTCAATCTTGAGCATTTGTAGTTGATATTGTTTTATAAAATTGTCTTATTTTTAAGATGCATTTATCTTTTTCTTTCAAACTAGCTTTTCTTTCTAAGAGTTAGGAGATTGTGGTACATAGAAGTAAGTGATTATTGACTGTTTATATGAACGATAACGGAGTACTTTGAAGTTTTAGTGGAAAATATTACAGAAATTAATATGTTTCTTTTAAAAAATTACTTTTTACTACCAGCATTTGAAAACAAATCATAGTATTATGTATTCGGGCATCACTTTAAAAAAATCAAGTTGGGCACAGTTTTTATTTGTTGAAGTTTTGAGTTATTTTCTTATCGTTAACATTTGGATTTTACTGCTTGATGTGATTCAGTATTGTAAAAGCTGTTTATGGTGAAAAAGCTTGTAAATGTTTTATAGTAATGATGATGCTGTGTAGAAAAAGTACTTAGATTACTTGAGTGGTGTTACAGAAAACTTTTCAACATCCCATTCAATTTTCTGTCTTTCCTTTTAATTTTCCTTTTTAATTTTCTTCTAGTTCATCATTCTTGTTGTTGATAGCATTGACAGGGAACGACTAGCTATTACAAAAGAAGAATTATACAGAATGTTGGCTCATGAGGTAAATTTTTAAAGTAAATCTTTAAAAAACAATGTAGTAAAGTATCTGTACATTGCCTTTGCTTTTTTGCAAAGATTAGTGTGATATGATGTTGGCTATTTTATTATTAACACAGCTTTACATACAAAACTGATGAAAGTTTTGAGGTAAAAAAAATGCTCATTATTTTTTCAAACTTAAAAAACTCTAAGACATCAATTGTAGATTACTACTGTTATTGCAAAAAATGTTCAAACCTAAAGTTACTTAAGCATGCCTTTAAAAGTCTGATAAATGAGATAAACAAAAGGAAAACTTGAGGGTCTTTTCCCCAAAAGTTTATAGTAACTGAAAGTTTTTTAATGAATAACTCAAGATCACTTAAATTCAATTCTAAGTATTTCAGATATTTAAGAAAACTTAGTAAAACACATTCATGCACCATATCAACATAAGATATGAAATATCTTAAGATACCTTGCCAATCTGATTTTCCTCCCTTCTCTTTCAGAGGTATCTACTATCCTAAAAGTAGTGATTGGTATTCTTATGCATGTTTTTATAGTTTTACTATATTTTTATGTCTTGAAGTTATACAGAGTATTGTATTCCATGTTTTTTTGTTTTGTTTTTCGTTTTTTGTTTTTTTTAAGACAGAGTCTCGCTCTGTCGCCCAGGCTGGAGTACAATGGCGTGATCTTGGCTCACTGCAACCTCTGCCTCCCGGTTCAAGCAGTTCTCTGCCTCAGCCTCCTGAGTAGCTGGGATTACAGGTGCCCGCCACTACTCCCGGATAATTTTTGTATTTTTAGTAGAGATGGCGTTTCACTATCTTGGCCAGGCTGGTCCTGAATTCCTGACCTCATGATCCACCTGCCTCAGCCTCCCAAAGTCCTGGGATTACAAGTGTGAGCCACTGTGCCTGGCCTGTATTCCATGTTTTTAAAACTAATACTATATAATATATATCTTTCTGAATCTTGCTCTTTTTGTACAACATTGTGACTTGTCCATGATAATACATTCTGATTTATCCATGTTAATATGTACTGCTTTAGTTCATTCCTTTTAACAACTGTATAGTTTTCCACAGTATGAATATATCACAGTCAATCTATTCTTCTAATGTTTTCATAGCATAAACAATACTGAAGTGAATATTAACCAATGGGCTTATGTTATACAAAGACTAGTAAGTAAGAAGTATTGCCCAGCTCCTACCACCAGTACTCTACTTTTAAGTTTTGGAGAAACTCTAGTGTTTGGCAACATACTACCATATTTACCTATTAGAATATTACTTATGTAGTTTTGAGTCAGTATTTAAAATTCAAATGTATTTTTTTTCCAGTTTGTCCGATTTGACTCAAAAATAAAAAATAATTATTTAATATTTATCTGTTAGAATGAATACTGAAATTATAGATATTCGAGATTATATTAAATATTAGTGCCCGATTATGTTAAAGTAGAAGCACTTCATTATACCTGTTCAGCTGGTTAAATTTAAATTTAAATTGTGGTATTTCACATATTAGAAATACTTTGTCTTGATTGCAGGATTTACGGAAGGCTGCGGTCCTTATCTTTGCAAATAAACAGGATATGAAAGGGTGTATGACAGCAGCTGAAATCTCGAAATACCTCACCCTTAGTTCAATTAAGGATCATCCATGGCACATTCAATCTTGCTGTGCTCTCACAGGAGAAGGGTAAGTTCATCGGTCTGAGGGGAGGTAGGACTGCTTTCAAATTTCTTCCAACTTTTTAGGCCAACTTGTTTTCTTCTTGGGTCCTGTTCCTTTTCTGTTTGTTTGTTCTTAATTAAAGGTGATTTTTATAATGTGTCTCAGGCTTACAACATAGAAATAATTCTACTAAAATCACTGGCAACTTAAAAACTTTAATGTAAATATAACGTTTTACCAAAAAGCAATAAACTATTGAATTAAGTTTCATAATCCAAATTTTTTGATGTTCTTTGTTGCCTTTATCATATACTGAGAAAAAAACTGTAGTGTCACCTTTCTTTTAAAGAGGAAACTTGAAAGGAAGTTCACATTTTCTGCAAGGACTTAAACCTAAGCTGTCAGCTTTCTGCAAGAGAATGTCTTCTTTATTATTAGAAGGTCTTTTGGGAAGCATAATTCTAGACAATAAACATTTGAGACAAATGCCATATAGTCTATTCTTCCATTTCTAACAATTTAAATGTGGGTATTAGGCCAAGAAGAACCCAATATTATTTATGTATTACCCAGTTTATACCAGAGAACTTATCCACAAATCAACCTCACCTTCTTAGTTTTTCTCTTAGTATTTATCAGAAATAGCTTGCAGTAATAGCTGTGTGTAGGCCTTTTTGACTCATACTTTTAAGACTGAGTCGTAAGTATTCCATTCTTTAGAATTGAGGAGGGTAAGGTGAAGTTCCTGTTAACTGTCCCTAGTCGTTTAAGTCTCGGTTAATTTTATTTTTTTTTTATTTATTTATTTTTTTTTGAGACGGAGTCTTGCTCTGTCGCCCAGGCTGGAGTGCAGTGGCCGGATCTCAGCTCACTGCAAGCTCCGCCTCCCGGGTTTACGCCATTCTCCTGTCTCAGCCTCCCGAGTAGCTGGGACTACAGGCGCCCGCCATCTCGCCCGGCTAGTTTTTTTTTTGTATTTTTTTAGTAGAGACGGGGTTTCACCGTGTTAGCCAGGATGGTCTCGATCTCCTGACCTCGTGATCCGCCCGTCTCGGCCTCCCAAAGTGCTGGGATTACAGGCTTGAGCCACCGCGCCCGGCGTCTCGGTTAATTTTAAAAGGCGGGGAGTATTTGCAATATTCATGGCAAAACTGGCAAAGTTGTATCTTCCAGATGAGACTGAAGCAGTTTCCCACAAACTGATTAAGAATATTTAAGAAAACATTGCATTTAAAAATTTAACTTGTTATAGTGTGGCTTAAATGTTGACACTGATGTATATAAATAATGATTGTGCTACCAGCCTTTGGTTAAGACTTAAAAATAATAAGTATCCTTTCAATTTTTAAGTATAAAGTTTTTAATTTTAAAAATATTTCTATCTTTTGTTCAGGTTATGCCAAGGTCTAGAGTGGATGACCTCCCGGATTGGTGTGAGATAACTTTTTTGCTTGAAAGAGACTGCTCTATTTATTGTGTGACATGAACATTTTTTCCTAGTACCTTTGGCTGCTAAGGCAGCAGCATGTTTAATTTATAACAACACAAACCTCTGAGAGCAACACTTGAATCAAGTGCAGCTGAACTGGAACATAAAAGGTTTTTTCTTAACTTTTTTTTTTTTTAATACACTAATCTTCAGTTGGATGAACATAATGTATAACTATGTTTTCAGCAACAATTCTTCTGTTTATTCTAATTATTCAGTGACTACCTTGTAAGAAATGTTTGTCATATGCGTGATGTCGTCTGAAATATTCTTATAACCTTAATGACCAATTGCTTTCAATTCTTGACCACCACGCCCTCCCAACCAGAGAATTACTGGTTTGATAGAGTAGTCATGGAAACCATCAGGTACTGTCTGCAAACTTCTCCAGCACTAAATATTTGTTCCTTCTATAAACCATTCATCTTTCGGACAGAACTTACTATAAAGAAAGAAATCTGCCTAGAGGATATATGTAAGGAAGATTCCACATCATGAGTGCTTGCCTTTTAACTTCCCCCACATTACTGCGAGTCATGGAATAATATTTAAGTTGTTATTTGCATGGAAATTAAGTAGGCTGTTTATTTTTCTAAAGGAATCAAGTTCACTCTTCTGCCTGCAACATTTGGTCAAAAACTAACCAAGGTAAAATATTTATTGAAAAGCCCAGCTTTGATGTTAAATATTCTTGAATAAATCTGATATTTTAAGAACGTCACATTATTCAATGCATATAAAACTATCAGAAGTTAATAAAGCATACCGGCACTAAAAATAAGACAATTGGAATATATTTCAGTCTCAGTTGACAAACAACTTTATTATCAACAGAAATTTTAGCTCTTTTCTTTGCAAGATATATCACAGCTACTTTGGGCAGTAGCTAAAGCTGAAGTATGAACAGTCCATTTTGTTTCTTACAATTTGAAGTTGTGTCTGTCATAACATTTTTACCACCAGCAGTATATTACTTAAAAAAACTACATGGGTTTCCTTGAATTTATTTGACGATATTATGTAATAGACTTGAAACAATTGCCATCTTTGTAGTTACGCCTTGGGTTCTAAAATCGTATCAGAAACTGCTGAATTTAATCCTAGCTTTCAGAATATTAATATGAGACTCAAAGTTAATATTCTTAACAACTTATAAATTAAAAAGTCATCATCTATCAAAAGTTTATTGGATGGCATTAAAATGTTTTTGAGGCAGTTGTCTAATATGAACAATAATCTAGACAGTATATTCCTTAAGAGGAAAGACAAGTATTGTATTTCGATCCTGTTTATTCAAATGTGTGATTTTGCTGAAATGAAAGGGATAAAATGAATACTTAGAGAATAATACTTCATTTTTGCAGTATTTTTTAATTTTGATGAAAAAGATTCAGTGTTCGTAATCTCAAAATATGTTTTCAAAATTGGTATTTTATTTTTAATATTTTTGTAGGTTGATTTAAATTTTGCTCTTTTTTCAGGTGTTCTTGATTTATTATATTTAGTCAAGTTAATTTAGTCGAATGTGGTAACATTTTTCTGATTTATCTTTAGCTGTAGCACACTCTTGAACTGAACAGTGGCCAGAGGAAAGCTTTCTGGACTTTGGAAAGCAGTTAACTTTGTTTTAAACCTTTTTCTTAGTGATTCTATATCAAGTAGAGGATAAGTTTAGTTTAACTTAGTTTTTAATATAACCCATAATCAAGAACATGAGCAAAAAGCAGACATAAATCAATATGGATGCTTTGTGGTGTCTGTGCGGTGTGGGGGAATTAAGAAAATGCCACTTACCTAAGCACAGTTTGCCTGAATTTCTACTTGGTTATGTTGTTTACCATAAGTACTGAGGATAATTCCCCTAAGTCTGTCCTGAGAAAAAGCATACTTAGTATTCCTGTATTTGTTCTTACGAAATGATTATCTGCCTTCTTGTATCTAGTAAGATTGGCTGGCTCAATTTTCTTCTGTCAGATTATATGGTTATTTTTTATATTGCCACATCAGCATTATATTAAAAGTGTTTTTAATAGTTAATTGTATTTTGCCAACTACTAGTATAGACTCAAATTTGCTATTTAATTTTTAAAATACAATTTATTTTCTAAATCCTTTAAAAAATATTTGGTTAGTTTTGGATTAGAAGTGATTTATGTTAGCCATGTGTTGAAGATGAAATTGGCATCAGTGTAGACTGTGCTGATTGGGAAAAGTTCATGATTAGGAAATTCATGTAAGACTTTTTAAGAGTATTTTTTAGGTTTTCACTCAATCTTTCCTGTTACAGTAACGTGAAAACCAATTATTCTTTACTCCAAGAGAATGTTTTAACCCAAGCAAGTATCTAATACTAGAGCATTGGTTCTGCCATTCATTGTAAATCAATGAACTATAAGATACTGTCTGAAAAATGTACATTTGTAATTAGTGCCTTTATTCATATTTTGAAATACATTCTTAGTTTTATATTATACCTGTTCTTTGGAAGTCACATTAGCAGCTAATTATTTCAATGATGAAATAATTTGTGTTTCATATCCCCCTTCACCTCCATGTATTGGCTAGCACAGTTTAGAGTAAGTGAAAAGCAGGGGACTGTTCTACCTTTTATTTTTAATTTGAAAATAAGGAAATTAAATTTCAACAGAAATCTTTTAAGTATGTTATAACCAAAGTGTTCAGTTATCCTTGCAAGTTCAAATACAGCATTTTTCTTAATTTTGAGCATGTCATGTCCTTCATCTTTAAACCCATCAGTCATACTGAAGCCCATTTGAGAACTCTTAGAATTAATAGAACCTTTTATAAGGGAATATGCTGAATATTTTTTATTGTTAATGTAACTTAATTCCTTAAAACCTGGAATATTAATATATATAATCTATTAAAAACTGAAGATGAAATATGTAATTTTTGCTTGTAGTTTCTTGTGTTAGTATGCTTAAAGGTATCAATATTTTTATTCTATATTCATTAGAAGAAAGGTAAGAAATTTAAGTTTCATTGCTGAAAAATTTTCAGTGGGTGCCACCCCATAGCCATAGTCATTTTGATTAAGCATAATTTAACTTTCATTATAGCATAAACAGAAAATAATTATTTTACTATGGAAACAGTGCTAGGCAGTGCTGTAAACAATATTCTCTGAAAAGTTGTGGGGCTCACGAAGAAAATTTTAAAGAATGTAGAAGCTTTTTTAAAAAATATTTGTAGTTTCTTAGGACAAATTATAAATATAATTGTTCTGAATAATCAATTTTTATTTAGTCCTTAACTATGTAAAACCATATCAGTAGAAAGATGTACTGGTGTCATGTCTTAAGATGGATAAATTTCATTGGAATTTATCTTTGAAGACTAACTTTATGAGGCAGACTGTTCGTCTACGGCTTTGGAACCAAAAAAACTTCACCCTGATTCAGTTCTAAAGGCTATTTTACATTTTGCCGGGGTAAAGTGACTTCAAGATACAGCATGGTGTCTTGTATCTAGTAGAATATTGTGCTATCTAAAAAAGTGGATTTGAGCTCTAATTTGGCCATTTCTCAGTTGTCTGGTTGACCTTAGACAATTCGTGTCCACGGTTTTCCTTTTGTTTTTCTCATACTGAGGAACTTAAACTACAGCTCTAAAATGTCTTTTGGTTTTAAAATTCTGAATTCTTATATACTACTATTAAAAATTAAAAATCTCCCAAATAGTAGGGAAATACATGTAATATGAAATTAAATGTATCTTTATCCATTATTTGATTCCTACCTGTTATTTTATTTAGATTATGAATACAGCCAAGTAGGGAAAAAAGTATCAGTAACTGCTATTCAACTTAAATTCAGCGAATAGCTAATGACAATGCAAAAGAGAAAACAAGCCATATTGCTAAGAGAAGGATAGTAAGCTGCTTAGAAAGAACCAGCCTGTGTTGGAAGTAATTCTCTTCTAGAGAATTTACCTTATTTTCCTGGCTTGTACTAATTGAATGTAAGTGGTTAGTTTGTTCAGAGTTTATTGCCTTTTGATGCCACCCCAAACTACAGTTCTGTGTGACTTTCCATATTGAAAGAGTAGGGTCAGTAGCCAGGTTGTCAATCTTTTACAAATGTCTACATAAATCTGAAAGTGGTTTATATTCAAGGTTAGTTTTTCAGTAGTGTCTCATCCTTATTGATTCACTATTACTGTGAAAAGTGAAATCCAAAAGCCAGGTTCCCCCCAAAAGTATTTTTTTTTTAATTTTAGGTTACCAAAATAAATAGAAAAAGACATAAAAAAATCTTCAACTATTCCATTTTAAATTTAAAGCAGGAAAAAAAAAATTGTGCCCATCAGACCTAAAGGCAGCTTTAAGTGTATATAGTTTGGTGAAACATTTGGGAAATATTAATTTTGGAGGTTTAGAAGCATACCGAAAAACAAATTCAAAGCACTTGCAAGTAAAGACAATACCATGGGGTCGAAAAATCTTCAAAAGGATATTAGATAAGAGAAAATGTGAATGAAAGCAATGAATTTCTGCCTCTCCCCGTATTTAAGGTACTTAAAATTACTAGAAAATACAGTCTTTTTACCGTAGAGCTAGATGGCCTGTATTATTATTAATGTGGCCAAAGGAGTGAAGACTGATTAGGGATTTAGAATTTGGAACTGTAGTCACATGAAGGCATCTTTTGCATTTCTTAAACTAGTAATCTACATTTTCTCCTGGAAATGGAGAAATATAAAATGTGCTGTGTATAGCTTTTGGAATAGAAAACAAAGTTTTAAAAGAATGGATATGTTTTCTTGCACAACTTGTAAAATTTTAATTAAAAAATTACCTCATTTTTCTACCCATAAGGTGCTTTGCTCAAGTATGTGGGATGTTGTACCATCCCATAAAAACCCCCTTCACCCAAACTGTATTTGAAATATGCAGAATTCATAACTAAGGGATAGCATTCCTTGGAGATTTTGTTTTGTTTTACTCTTGTTTGCCACCAGCTGGGCCAACATGGTAGATATATCAGATACACATACGGTTTTCATTAAAGCACATAGGAAAGTGCTCGGTCAATATTTAATTAGTTTAATTAAATAAGGGAAAGGAGAAATCCTAAATTGGATTGATTCTATTGTACTGTGAATATATTTCCATCAGTGTTGGTAAGATATCAAATGACCATCAGTTGATCCCAGTCATCAGTGACTTTTTTGCATGTGTAAGCCCCATTCACAAGAGACATAATCATTTTAGTCTTTATATTTTCCCTCAGGAAATGTAGGGACTCCGAAAGCCCCTATTTTATTCTCTTGGAGTAAACTGTTGAGTGTAGTTACAAAAACTTGTATTTATGATTTTAAAAAAGTTTAACTGCTATTTCATTGAAAGTGTGAAATGGTCATTTTTTTTTCAATTACAGAATAGTTACAGATTTTACCATGTTCATCTGTTCCACAGAGCATGTTAAAAACAACAACAACAACAAAAACCTAACAGCAATTACAACCTCGGTGTTGGGTTTATTCTAATCAGAGTGAATGATTATAATCACACTTTGCTATTGTAGCATAAATTGGTGCTTTAGAGCATTAAAGAGGAAGCAGCAGGCCCTGTACTCAATATTTATTATTTCTTGCCTCAGAATGCAAAACAACTTTAAAGTGTCTGTATTCATATTTATGTGCATTTCTTAAGATTTAAATACAAACTGTTGTTACTCCTCAAGCTTCAGACTTTCTGCGAAAGCTCTAAGAATATTTTAGTTTCTATGCTTGGTCAACTAGAAGATGGTATTAATAGGTCAGAATTAGGAATTGGATGGCTCTGTGGGTCCTCTGGTATTGTGCAGAGGAAAGAAAAATATCTTTTACACCACAGACTGCACGTCTGAACCCCAGCCAAACAGATGTGTTCCATTGGTCCAATATATAAGCATTAACAACAACAACAAAAATTTAAAGCAAGTAAATTAATGCATTCACATTATCACTTCTTGAAAATGGTTCAAAGCATGTTTTCCTGATGGTGGGATTGTTTAAATGCCATGTTTTAAAGTTTTTAATACTTTATTACTGTTATGAAGTGCTTCTTTTATATGTTAAGTTTAGGTTGCCAATACTTGTAATTTTTATTTTTGCAATTATGTTATAATGAGTTGTTTGCATGCCTATTTAACCCAAGTAAAAGGATGCTATTTGCTCTGGAATGTTCATCTTTTAGACAGGTTTTGGCTCATTTCCAATCATGGTGCAATATAGTGTAACTTTCATTTGTTTTCATTCAACAGTTTTATTTTTGTCATAATAAATAATTACTTTTCCAATACAAAGTGAACCCAGTGTTTTCTTTTAAAGATAAAATCTGCTTTAACAGTCTTGTTTGCAAATGATAGAAACCCACCTATGCTAACAAAGAGCGGAGAATTTTATTATAGGTGTGAGATGGTGGGGGCTCACGGAACCCATGGAACAAGTGGATTTGTAGACGAGAAGGGGACTAGAGACTGGACCATTTAGGAGCAAGCAGGAAGTTACCTTTTCTCCTACTCATCTGTTTCTTTCATCTGACTGGATTTGTCTGTTTCCTGATCCACGTGACAGATAATGTCCCAAGTCCAGTAGCCTCCTAAATTTATGCAAGGAAGAAGTCAGGTTATTGTTAGATTTTTAGTTACAACTCCATATTCCCCAGGGAAATTATTCATTAGCCAGCATTGGGTCATTTCCTCTCTCTGATGTAAACAACTGGCCAAGGGAAAGGTGCGTTTACCAGAGAACAGGAATCCCTGGCCTGGGAAGGTGATCCAGATTGGTGTGTACTCCATTGTGGGATATAATTGGGATCATCTACCTAAGTTGTGTCCTTGTAAAAAATAAAATAGAATTGAGATCTAATAATGAGTAGGATAACATTTTCACTATGTTCATTCTTCAGATTCCTCTAAAGTAGTGGTTTTAACTCCGCCGTTTTTGTTCACAGACTTCTTGGGGAATGTGATAAAAGTTGCCTACATAGAAAAATTACTCATATTTATGGAGTTAGGAATTTTGAGTGGAAGGTTAGGAATTTCAGGTACCTAGGCTTAAGAGTTCTGCTGCACACAGAACACTCAGATTTCTTCTGAAAGACACCAGAAACTAAAAAGATTTCATTCTGCCTATTTTTTAATCAGTGATTTTAAGATTGGTATATCTATTTTTTAAAGTATGTTTTATGTAGGTGCGTGTAGGTATTTTTGTAGGTATAATGAATGCATTAAACTGTTCATGGTTAAAATGTACAATTTGAAAAGCTTTGATGTGTATACATTTGCGAAATCATCACCACAATCTGGGTAATGAAAATATCCGTCACTCCAAAAGTTTCCTAGTGTTGCTTTGTAATCCTCCCTTCTGCTCCACTCCCCATCCCCAGATAATCACTGGTTTTGACTAATTACCACCAATTTTGTGGTTTAAAACAATTTAAAACAGTCTAAAATTAAGGTGCCAGCAGGGCTGTGTTTCTCCTCAAGGTTCAGGAGAAAATTCATATCACCTTTTTCAGCTTTCAGAGGCTGTGTGCATTTCTCAGCTCATGGCCCCTTCCCCACATCACTCCACCATCTGACTTCTGTCAACACATCTCCTACCCATTGTGAGCATCCTATGCTTTTCTCATATTAAGGACCCTTGTGTTTCTAACTAGGATAATCCAGGATAACCTTCTCATCTTGAGGCCCTTATGCCACGTAAGGTAACACATTCACATGTCCTGGGGAATTCTACTTCATGTGAGCTAAAAGAGCATCCTGAACAAAAACCTCGCATGCTGGCAGGTGGCTAATTGCGATCTTGGCTCACTGCAACCTCCGCTTCTCAGGCTTAAGTGGTCGTCCCACTGCAGCCTCCTGAGTAGCTGGGACCACAGGCATGTACCACTACACCCGGGTAATTTTTTGTACGTTTTGTAGAGATGTAGTCCCACCATGTTGCCCAGGCTGGTCTTGAACTTTTGGACTCAAGCCATCTGCCCGCTTTGACCTCTCAAAGTGCTGGGTTTACAGGCGTGAGCCACTGTGCCTGGCTCATACACTGATTCTTGATTTAACAAACCTTTCTTTGTTTAAAAGACCCTTCCTACTAAGAAAACAAATGTATACTCCTCAGCAAATTTGAATTTCCATCTCAAATTTCCCATCTGAGATTTTTGACCTGACATTTTTGTGAGGACTTGGAGACTTGATGATATTGCTATACTTGAGGATTCCTCTGCCACCGAAACAAATGTAGTTTGAGTTCGATAATAACAATGAATCCTTGTCTTCCAAAATGGGATTGGCTATTTTATCGCTTCTTTCAAATTAATCACCTTATTTTGGCAGATGACACTGTATAACTCAAGATACTTCATACTTGATAGGGATCATCTAATCTATTCTTTGACTCTTCTGAATTGCGATATTTTCGTATTCAATTTAAAATTACACTGCAACTCTCACTGCAACCTCTGCTTCCCGTGTTCAAGCAACTCTCGTGCCTCAACCTCCCAAGAAGATGGGATTACAGGCGTGCACCAATTACAGGCTTCTTAAAAATATTTTTATTAGAGACGGGAAGTTCTCCATGTTGGCCAGGTTGGTCTCAAACTCCTGACCTCAGGTGATCTGCCCGCCTCAGCCTCCCCTAGTGCTGTGATTACAGGCGTGAGCCACCACGCCTGGCCCAGATGCATGTGGTTCTAAAGCTGTTGACTACTGTGGAGAAAGGTTCAAGAAACTTGAGCTCTGGCTTCATTTTCTCTTATTAAGAGAATGAAAGTGAAATGAAAGAATTTCCTCCAGATATGCTTTGCCTAAAAAGGAAGTTCAGGGGATGCATAGGCATAATGGAAGTCACTTGGCTAGCAAAGGCAATTTATATTCAGAACAGGGACCCTGTGGCTCAGAAGAGGTGGAGAGAAAAGGCTTGGAGAAGGATTTCACATTCTGAGGGAAATCTTAGCTATATGCCTGCCCGAGCTAAATAGGAACTCTAACTCCCTCGCCTATAAACAAAACAAAAACCAAAAACATGCAAACAAGAACGTGGCTCCTTTTCAAACCTGTTTTTTCTTTCCTTGTCAAAGTTATAATTTCCTTTGAGAAAATTATAACTTACATGAAGTGCATGAAACAATGTGCACAATTTAACAAATCAAAGTGAACATATGTCCCCACCACTTATTATTGTATCCAGTATTGGTTTCTGGAAATGGCTGGCTTCACGTGGTTGTAGTTACCACCCTCATTCAAAAGTTCTTGAGACTATGTTCCATCTCTGAGAGTTTCCCAGGATGAGATTAGGGCTGTGGCTGATTCTCCCTTCAAAACCCACAGAATGCCCCAGTGATAGTTATGCGTATGACTGTGGTAAGGAGAAATTTGATAGGGAAAAAGAGATGTTGATTTCCCATTCATCTGCTTTATTTCCTGGAGCCCGTGGCATACATGAAACCACCATTACAAAATAATAACCGAGACAGTGAAAGAGATCTGACCTAACCGACTCCATCTTGCTTTTAACCTCCAAGCTGTCCTTGTTCATTCCTGGGAGCTGGCTGAACTAACTTTGGGAGGAACTCAGTTTACAGTTTGAAACAAAAACTGTAACAGCCCTTTCCCGAGACAAATCCCCTTCTTGGCTGGCGACTAGACTGCCTTTGTAGGACTAACACATTAGCCAAAAGATTAGAAATTATTGTTTAGGAGTCATGCAGCTGTAGGCTGCAAAATTCTAAACCTCCCCAAATTGCTCCTGGGGATAACATCACTATTTTAAAAACTAAGACCAGTGTTTGAGATATTTTGTAGACCCTGCACTCAATGTATCAGCAGGCACCTCCCAGATTGATAAACTGGCTCTTGTCTGTGGTCCTCACCCAGGAAGCTTCAACTCCCTGTGATTTCATCTTTGACCTGACCAGTCAGAACCCCTGATTCACTGGCACCCCCTACCCACCAAATTATCCTTAAAACTTCCAATCTCTGAATTGTCAGGCTGTGCGTGAATTACTCTTTCTCTATTGCAGTTCTCCTGTTTTGATAAGTCATCTCTGTCTAGGCAGCTAGCAAGGCGAATTCACCTGTTGGATGGTTATATACAGATTGTTCAGGTCTGAGTTAATAAGGAAAAGCAGAGAATTACAACAATTCGGCCCTGATAAATTTTACTGAATGGTGGAATCCTCAGTAGAGTTACAACTTCCAGTGACTCCAATGAATCCCACTCTGTAGACCGGCCCCTACGTTTCCAGATGAGACTCCTTTGATGATTACCTACTACTAAGACACATTTTGGTGCACCCTTTAATGGGAGAAACTAATATCCCTGCTTTTGATGGGGAAGGGCCAATATGGATATGCACCTATAAAAGTGAGAATAAAAAGGTTTTGTACTACAGATTCAAGAAAGGAAAAAGATTGTCTTTTTGCTGTAATCCTTACAGGTAAGAACGACAGCCTCACATGAATGCATATGTCTCTGACAATCAGTGACAAGTCAGTGCTTCAGAAAGTCAGCCAGTCAGTGAATGATCGTGCTTCCACTTTGGGAGAATTTGATAAGGAGCTTGAAACTCTTCCAATTCCCTGTGTTCCATTCAAACCATATTTTTCCTCATAGAGACTAACCCTTAGAGTGGTTCTCAAACAATGCTGTCAGCATCAACTAGGAACTTGTTAGAAATGCAAATTTTCAGATTGCATCCCAGAGTTTTTATATTAGAAACTCTCAAGGTAAGGGCCTAGAAATCTATTTCAACAAGCCCTCCAGATGAGTCCTATGCAGGTTAAAGCTTGAGAACCACTGCCTTATAAACCCCACTCTTCCTTGCTTTGGAAGAAATATCTGTTTTAGATATTTACTGGTGGCCTTTTGCTTTAACAAAGTGAGACCATTATTATTTCTGCAGGAAAAGTCAACAGATGGACCGAACACACTGTGCAGGGAGAAAGCTGGTGGAGGGGACAGGGTGCTGGTCATTAGTCACCGGGAAGAACCCTGAGAAAGGAAAAGAAGGGTTCCTCGGCTGAACATTGATTGGAAATTCAGATAGAATACGTCAACATTAGCCACAGCAACCCAAGCTTGCTGGACTTACAGTAGGAAAAAGAGCCTACAAACTCCAATCTGAGAGCCTGGAAAATGGCAATATCCAGCTTTATTTTATTTTTTTTTTAGACAGAGCCTCACTCTGTCACCCAGGCTGGAGTGCAGTGGTACCATCTCAGCTCATTGCAATCTCCACCTCCCGGGTTCAAGCAATTCCCCTGCCTCAGCCTCCCGAGTAGCTGGGATCACAGGCAT